GCCGATGGATTTGATGCTCCTTGCAGCTGAGAAAAGCCAGCTTCCATTGAAAAGGAATGACTTCCGGCCGCTTTGGAAGCTCAAATCGGCGGCGGTGTGAACGTACAGTAAGAAGTGTGGTGGATTTTTAAATTATTATTATTATTTTTTTTTCATTATTATGTTTGCACCTGTTTATGATGATGTGGTGTTCATTATGTATTCAGTCATTGAGCCTAATTGGTTACAAATGGATCTGTGCGTTGATTTGTCATGTGATTATTTTAAATGGGATTGAGTTTGAATATTTGTATATGCCTGATGAAGGTCGTGAGACCGAAACGTTGCTAATAAAATTTTGATACTCATTTGCAAGTACTGATAGTGTGCGGGAGTTCATTTTTTTTTTTTTTGATTTATTGATTATTAGTGAATATTTATTTATTATTAGTGAATTAACTTGGGCCATAGAAATCTAAAGAGACCACTCTCACAACTTGACGTGCCTACTGTAATCACTCATTTGTAATCGCTACAGTAATCACTCACTACTGTAATCACTCATGTGTAATCACTACTATAATCACTCATGTGTAATCACTACTGTAATCACTCATGTGTAATCACTACTGTAATCACTCATGTCACTCATGTGTAATCGCTACTGTAATCACTCACTACTGTAATCACTACTGTAATCACTCACTACTGTAATCACTCACTACTGTAATCACTCACTACTGTAATCACTACTGTAATCACTCACTACTGTAATCACTCACTACTGTAATCACTCACTACTGTAATCACTACTGTAATCACTCACTACTGTAATCACTCATGTGTAATCACTACTATAATCACTCATGTGTAATCACTACTGTAATCACTCATGTGTAATCACTACTGTAATCACTCATGTCACTCATGTGTAATCGCTACTGTAATCACTCACTACTGTAATCACTACTGTAATCACTCACTACTGTAATCACTCACTACTGTAATCACTCACTACTGTAATCACTACTGTAATCACTCACTACTGTAATCACTCACTACTGTAATCACTCACTACTGTAATCACTACTGTAATCACTCACTTTATTATTAGTGAATTAACTTGGGCCATAGAAATCTAAAGAGACCACTCTCACAACTTGACGTGCCTACTGTAATCACTCATTTGTAATCGCTACAGTAATCACTCACTACTGTAATCACTCATGTGTAATCACTACCATAATCACTCATGTGTAATCACTACTGTAATCACTCATGTGTAATCACTACTGTAATCACTCATGTGTAATCGCTACTGTAATCACTCACTACTGTAATCACTACTGTAATCACTCACTACTGTAATCACTCACTACTGTAATCACTCACTACTGTAATCACTACTGTAATCACTCACTACTGTAATCACTCACTACTGTAATCACTCACTACTGTAATCACTACTGTAATCACTCACTACTGTAATCACTCACTACTGTAATCACTCACTACTGTAATCACTCACTACTGTAATCACTACTGTAATCACTCACTACTGTAATCACTCATGTGTAATCTCACTACTGTAATCACTCATTGCTGTAATCACTCACTACTGTAATCACTCATGTGTAATCACTCACTACTGTAATCACTCATCTGTAATCACTCACTACTGTAATCACTCACTACTGTAATCACTCACTACTGTAATCACTCGTGCAATCACTACTGTAATCACTCGCTACTGTAATCACTCGTGTAATCACTACTGTAATCACTCACTACTGTAATCACTCATGTGTAATCACTACTGTAATCACTCATTACTGTAATCACTCACTACTGTAATCACTCATGTGTAATCACTACTGTAATCACTCATTACTGTAATCACTCACTACTGTAATCACTCATGTGTAATCACTACTGTAATCACTACTGTAATCACTCATGTGTAATCACTACTGTAATCACTCATTACTGTAATCACTCACTACTGTAATCACTCATGTGTAATCACTACTGTAATCACTCATTACTGTAATCACTCACTACTGTAATCACTCATGTGTAATCACTACTGTAATCACTACTGTAATCACTCGTGTGTAATCACTACTGTAATCAATACTGTAATCACTCATGTGTAATCACTACTGTAATCACTCATGTGTAATCACTACTGTAATCACTACTGTATCACTCACTACTGTAATCACTCATGTAATCACTCACTACTGTAATCACTCACTACTGTAATCACTCATGTGTAATCACTACTGTAATCACTCATGTAATCACTCACTACTGTAATCACTCACTACTGTAATCACTTGTGTAATCACTCATGTGTAATCACTCACTACTGTAATCACTCATCTGTAATCACTCACTACTGTAATCACTCACTACTGTAATCACTCATCTGTAATCACTACTGTAATCACTCACTACTGTACTGTAATCACTCACTACTGTAATCACTCATGTGTAATCACTACTGTAATCACTCACTACTGTACTGTAATCACTCATGTGTTAACCATCTTCACTGAGCTTCTGGGGCAGTAGGTGGTGTTGTGCCCTGACTGGTCGGGTACATTCAGGGTAAGATGGCAATAACCTTTACTAAGTACCATTTCAATATGCCTCATCTCCTGTTCATGAGGGCATTGCGGAGCAACAATTTTGAAAAAAATAAAACACAGACTGTAACTTTTGTGAGGTTTGCGCTAAAGAACCTTTTAGCCAAATTTGTGCATACTGGACAAAATTGGTGTTGTTGTTTTTTTAAATGCAAAGATCCAAAGAATCCCAGTAAAAAACTGAATGTGGACCAAACAAGTTTCAAAAGTGTGAGTTCAAGGGTTGAACAAAATTAAAAATGTTCAGACCCTTTTCAATAAATGTGCCTAATTTCAAGATCTCTACAACGGTTACATTTTTAAATCTTCAACAAATAGCAAGGGTTCATCCAAACATTTAATTTATTTCATCCTTGTCTGGCTTGAGGCATTGAAACAGTTTTATTTCTAACCAAATTCCCTCTTTGCAAAATATTCGATGTGATGTTTGCAGCTGTTGTAAAATCCTCTATAAACACACACCTGTGCCCTCATTAACTCAGTGTTACTGCACCACTGTGGTCGGGGTGTTGTTTGGCAACCATTCTGCTAAACACTGCTTGGCGGAAAAGTTGATTTAAAGAAACATTCCAGGTTCAATACTAAATAATCGCAGCATAATTGGCATTTTTATTTTTTTGTTTACACAATCATATATGTATATGTTTTGTATTCTTATCTTGTGTTTATACGTTAAAAACAGTGCATGTTTTAATGTTTAGTGCTTTGGTTTCTTGGTACAATGGTTTCTTAGGGCGTATTGCTTAAATAAACAATATATTCAAACATGATATCACTTAATATTTAATCTGCAAATAACTGCAGTCCACTCCATGTTTCAGCAACAGAGATGGGTTTGAAGGTTCGGATCGTTTCCTCCGGCTCAGGCAGAGCGAGATCTGGTTTGTGGTTGGAGTAGGGGTGTGTGATATATATATCGTCTGCGATAATATCGTAATTGTTGTTTTAACGATGTGCGATCTGACATTATCCAGTATATCCCTCACACACACCCATAGAGCGCATGCATTCACTACGTGATGTAGTCTTGAAGATTAGACTAGAGCAGGTGCGCATTTAGACTGATTTACTCTATATTTATATCATTTAATATAGTTTATAAGTATCACACGAAGAGTGCAGTTTTCAGCAAGATGACAAATGTGATATTGATTTTAGATTTGAAGTTTAATAAACAAGAAGTTAATATTAAGTGACTTAATATTTGCCATATTGCCTGTTTTTGCTCTATTTCGCCAACAAATATTGTCCAAAACAAAACCACATTACTGTAATTGCGTCTCTGAGCGACACACAGGCGTTTCCTTACTGAACAAAGCAGCTTTTTGAACGAATCAGTTGAATCAATGACTAAGATGGATTAAGACAGATGCAGTTAAATGCTTCGCTCCTGAATGAATCAGCCATTTGAATGAATCGTTTGTCACCTCTGAGCTTCATTAAACGGGTCTGTGTAAAAGCATCTAAATGCCACTTCAAACGCAGCCTGTGTTTCCTCTGCAATGCAGAGATGAATTCTGTTCATACCTAAATTCATTTGATTGGTAACAGCCCTATTGTGTCTTATTATTATAATTTAATTTGATTTAATTTATGAAATTGACACAAAAGATGATGCATGCATATAATTAGGTTTTTTAAAAATGGATTTATAAAAGTAAAAATGCCCATAAAAGGTAAAAATCAATTAAAACATATTGGAAAAAATCATTTCTGTCCCTGCTGTGAACTGAGTCAACAGTCCATGGCAGTCCCAAACCTGTCAAGGTACCAGCACAATAAACACACTCAGCAAAATATCGTCTAATTATCGTTATCGATAAAATCCCAGAAAATATAGAGAGAGATCATGTTTTGTCAATATCGCACAGCCCTGGGTTGGAGCAGAGAGTTGGCGAGGGCTGGCTGTGATTGGGCACAATGGGACGATGTCTCGCTCTATGACTGTTATCAGTGAGGCACACTGTCAGTCTAATGTCATGTTTTCAAGATCATAATTACAGCTCATGTCTCAAATGCCACCAATCTAATCATTTGACTGAAAAGCACACCATCACACACTTGGGCCTTAATTGGAGCATGTATTTGATGTGTATTGGTGAGCTGCGGGCACCAGAGCCAGCGATGATGGAGATAAAAATAAAACCACTCATTTCTTTCGCCCCTTGTAAGGCCTTGAGGCTTTAGAAAGGTGCTGGCGGAGGATCTGCGGGCCAGTGAATATTGCATGTGCTCATGGGAATGCCAGCCTGCACATTTCCAGATCTTATAAAGCACAATTCATTGCTTTTTCTCCACACTTTTCTGTTAACTCTTTTTTTTTCTGCTTTAAAAGACATGAATGGTGGTGGTGAATGTGTAAGTACTTACACGGCCCATTCCAGCTTCTCATTCTTGATGGAGTTATACAACACCTGCATGGAGAAAAACAGGGAAAGAAAGAGGCTTAGTATGGTATGCATTCAAATTTTAATATAATTCATATTCACCTGACGTAGAAGATATTCATTTAACCTTCTGAAATAACTGTTCTTAACATGTGAGATCTGCCCCTTGTTATGTGTGATCTGTGCAACTGTAACATCATGGCTGTGTAAAACGTACCAGAACGATGCGTGTGGTCTTTAATTTAATACACCATCTCACTGAGTTATTATGAAGTCAGCCACTGTCGAACAGTGTTAATTTTGTCAGCAAATTTTGATTTAGTTTTAGTCTTAGTCTTTTGACTAAAATGCCATTTAGTTTTAGTCATATTTTAGTCATCTGAATTGTTTTAGTTTTAGTCTAGTTTTAGTCGACGAAATACAATAACATTTTAGTCGACTAAATCTACAGTAGATTTAGTCGACTAAAATATAATGGGTTTAGTTCAATTGTAATGCGTTAATTTAGAATTTCTCTAAAATTTCCAAACCCATATACTCCCGGAGAAAACATCTATTAACCTGTTAATATGAATGATTTTTAAGTTTGAACATGCAATACAGATACAGATTTAACTGCTGTTACTTAAAAAATATCTTAAAATGAAATAAAACCACTTTTCCTAAAGTACAACACAGTCTTCTTTACAATGAATGATATATTCATTCCTTATAACTACTTACACATCATTCTTTATTCTTTCAAGCAGACATATTTATTTGTATGAATTAAATATAATTAATCCTTATTAAAGCTATTAACAAACAGTGAAAGCTTTTCTCTTTTTCTTTTGTTGCTTGATCAAAATTAAGGACACGGACCGCATTAGGTTTATTGCCACTGTCACTTTAAGACGTCGGATCATGTCCAATGACATGCGGATACAATTGCACTGATGCACATCCGACACACTCACAGTTTAAGACATAACCAGCATAGTTTACATGAATACTCTCCAAAAAGGACATTTAGACATACTGTTGTGTATTTCTCCATTCAGACACGAAAGAGAGCTCAATTCAGTAGCCTACTCGCGCGCTGTAGGTGTATTGTGCATGACTGCACGCTTCGGGTTAGGTGTGTGCGCACAGAAAACCGCACCGAATAGAGCTCTTTTTTGCATCGACACTCTTATTCAGAGATCGATATGTCTGCTCTACTCATTCTCCCAGACGTTCACATTTTTTTACGTTTTATGACCGCGGGGTAGATCACGTTACAGTAGCCTACAAATGTGCGCATCTACCACACACGCAGGACATCAGTTCTGACGGATCGCTTCCCAAATCGTCACTATCTAACATTTTCGTCTAGTTTTTATTCGTTGACGAAAATGTCAATAGATTTTCGTCATAGTCTTTGTCATTCAAAACTAGGTTTTATTTAGTTATCGTCTCGTTTTCGTCTGTGAAAAAATGTCGTTGACGAATAATTTTCGTCGTTATTTTCGTCAACGAAATTAACACTGCTGTCGAATCGGTTATAATGAAACACTGTCTCCTCTGGACACTAATGGATCTTTCTCATGCAGTGCCATCAGTGAAATTCATTGTGAAAATGTCACACAATTCATTTGCAGTATTTATGCAAATGCACACCCAGACTCCTGCGTGAAGTATGAGCGAAAAGGTCCAGCTAAACCTTAAAATGCTGCAGATATCTCATTTGTTAGCATGGATATTAGGGCACAGAGCACATGCACACGTTCAGAACCACGCCACACACCCGTGCAGGTCTCAAATGACCAACGGGCTTCGCCACATTCATGAGCATGCGAGATACAATAGACAGACTGTCATCTGATACACTTTTCACATGAAGTAACACTGATGTGACCCAGAGAAGACACTCAAACGGCGGATCTCTCATAACACTGATGTTACGTGACGCTGCGAGACCACACACGATGGGTCATGACCGTATGTCTGTGGTCTGCAACACACTCCCTTGTAGTACTGGGACGTACTGGTGCAAAAACACTAACGTCATGAAACCAGTCTGTGCTTTCTGACTGACACACGGCTGCTTTTGAACGCATGTATGTCTACGTGCACACGTGATCGCGAACACTGATGTGGATGATCAAACGCACTTCTGGCTCGTGCGAGGTTTCAATGCCAAACCAGTTCAGTGTTGTAGATCATGCAATGCGTCACAATTAGTGCTGGGCAGTCATTAATCGCATCCAAAATAAAAGTTTGTGTTTACATAGTATATGTGTGTGTACTATGTATAATTATTTTGTATACGCACATATGCATGTATATATATTTAAGAAAAATGTGTTATTTATATATAATCTAAATTATTTAAAAAAAAAAAACAGTATACATGCAAATATTTAAATATGCATATGTGCGTATACAAAATAATTATACACAGTACACACATATACTATGTAAACACAAATGCCTAGCACTAGTCAGAATATTCAATCTTTGCATTAGATATATCTAATATTAATCAAAACAATAATACTTGCAGGAAACAGATTTCTTCGTTCTTTTTGACTGTTGACTTGAATAATTACACAAAAAATCTGAAGCAGCGTTTACTTCACCGACAAATACTTGAAGCTACATTCCAGCCATTGTTTTAATTTAATATTCATATTTATCTTTCTAAATGGAGTGTGCTCAATAGTGCAGCGTTTCCATGCGGGATAGACATGGTGGCCAGCAAGCAAAAACTATCTCCAGCGAGTGTTGGTTTGTTGTTGTGTCACTAATTGCGTCATCAGGTTCTGCGCTCCTATTGGTCTCTGGGTTGACGTCTGGCGCAGGAGAAGTCACACTGCAGGACTGAGCCTCAAACCTTCTCACACAGGCAGATCTTCATCAGGGGGAAAGTTTGATCACAATGGTCATTAATCGGCTGTCGGTGAACAGATTTTGGTCTAGGATCAGATTTTGGCCAAGCATCCGAAGAATCTTTTAGGATTCACAAAATTAGTCTCAGACGGCCAAATCCTGGGTGAAATCGTTCAGTGTGAACCCGGCGTTACCCATGTGCAATAGGGGGTGATGTGGCCTAGTGGTTAATTAGCTAGTCTGGAACTGGAAGGTTTTAAGTTGCCAAGGATAATGCATGCATACTGTACTGTAAGGCACTTTAGGACAGACAATTAGCTAAATCAGAAAATAGTGTCAACTATATTTTATATTTAAATAATAAAACTAATTAGACTGATTTCTGGAAGAGCGTAAACAATGTGGCGTTTCCAAAACACTGACATGTTTGTTTGAGACCAAACCAATAGCGTGAGTTTGAATGATTAAGTGTGTACGCATTGAATTGAAACTTGTTTGAAAATATTATTTTGTCTTTCTGTTTGGCACTAGTGACGTATAATTTTAAATGACAGAAAAAATGTGATCTGATGCATGTAAAAAATAGTAATACCATGTTTCAAAAAAATCTGTCGGAGTCATTAGCAGCGTGGGCGTCGCTCCAGTCCGACATATAGCTTTCCGATCCCATCGCCCTCTCGCCGTCTCCCACACTGCTCCCTGCCAACTCTATACTGTACTGTACGTCTACAGGAGCAACATGCTCACAATGATATCAAATCTATTCCAAATACAATTAAACACAATTATAAAATCTTAAATAGAAATAATATTGCAATTTGTGTGTGTATATACATATATCATATGTACATACACTCAAACAAATCTGAATCAGTGATTACTTAACAAAAGCTATACAGTACAACATTTTTCAAATATAGCCATAAACTCCAATATGCTCCAACTCGTATCACTTAAGCCTCTAAATCCAGCTAAATCATCAGTTTTCTTTAAAGGAATTGCAACCAATGCACAAACAATTAGCACAGCCGTTTACTGTATGCGTGTGTAGTAACGTCCCCATGTTAGTTCACCCACAGTGAGAAGTGCCAATGTTCATGTGTGTACAAACACAAAGCCATGTTCCTCGCACATGAGCTGTGTGTGTCAGTGGCAGCGGGATGCCGCCCGCAGGACAACACACACATCAGACCGAACAGAAAACACACGGGTGTGAAGTAGGGAGCGGGTTACGCTGGCATGACCATATCTGTGAATCATAAATCAAACACAGTGACCAATAAGGCAGAGAGAGAGACGCTGTTAACCCGGGTCAAGGTGACACGTTAATGCCGTCACAATAACAGATGTTAACAACAGCATGCATGTCATTCAATAACAGCAAAAAAGCCACCTATCATGGTTTAGTGAGGTACAGACATAACTCCAGTGTAAGAACACAGACATGTCTCATCCAGTGGGAAATGCAGTATTGTGTGGAGTGCAAGTATTGCGTCCAGTGCCGCAGACACACTGAACACAGCACCAGAGCCGCACTTAACAGCAGCGCTATCTGAAGAGCGTTAGTGCGCGTGCAGAACAGCTGCGTTCAAAAACACCAGAGTCCAATAACCACAGAGATTATGTTAATACAGCATCACAATGCCCAAGAAATCATCTCCATTCCAGGCACACAAACACCACAGCAAACGCCAGGCTGGTTACCTTCTCCTTCTTGGGCAGTCCGGTGTTGAATTCGGCAGAATTGGACACTTTGAGGGACTTGGAGCGGTGCTGTGGCTGACGCCTGAGCGACTCCTCCCTGCCGTACTTCACGGACCCGCCGGGCCGCATGCGGACCTTCCCCGTGCCCTGAACACTGTTCACCCCGATCATCTCCTGCGCTTAGAGCCCTCACACACACGCGCGGAGCGAGAGAGGAGATCGAGCGTGTGAGGAGGCAGCGGACTGGAGAAGAGTGAAACCAACAGACGAGCACAGCAGAACAGCACACAAACGTCCCTGCCTTCAAGACACGAGCGAAGCTGCTTCCTCCCGCATCGCTCGCCGGAGTGTGTGGATACAGAGCGAGTTTCCCTGGGAGCAACACGTCAGTGACTGGTAGAGTCAGACACACACACAGAGAGAGAGAGAGAGAAGGGGAGAGGAGGTGCTCCTCCCATTCTGAAGAGAGCCAA